GACGTATCGGGATATGAACTATGATGTTCAGTTCTACCCGCTAGAGAGCAAAAGCCCCTCTGATTTTGAGATGCGGCAGGTTTCCGGCCAGGACTCTAGGGATGCAGATGGGCTTAGGTGGTCCCTTGACGAGCTCCTGCATCTCATGTATATCAAACAGCAGGAGATTGATTCCCTTCAGCGGGTGTTGGCTGATCAGCAGCGACTGCACGATGAGCAGTTGGGTTTTTTGCTGCAGAAGGTTAGAATGTCCCACGAGGAGGTGGTTTAGGTCTTGAGTGGCAAACAATCCGCAAAGAAGGTGACTGCAGCGTCAAGAAGACTTTCCCGCTTTGCCCCCAGGAAGAAGTCTTCCGTGGTGAGTGCTCCTGCTTGCGTGACTCGAGTTGACGAGGATCTAAACAGGAGCATGGCTTTGTTCAAGCAGCGAGAGATAGACCACCTCCGGAATAAAATAATCCATCTCAGTGTCCACTCAGACTTTCTTGCTTGGGATAGCATGACGCAGTGGAAACAGAAAGTTGTGCGGCTCGACATTCAGATTAGTAGACTGTTGTTCATCTCCGATATGAGGGGTGATCTTGCACGCGTTGTGTACTCATTGTTCGTATTGCCGAACAATGACGTGCTACAGGGCTTTGACCATCTGATTTACAGTCAACTATTCATCAGTTGCAGTTGGTTGCTTTATCGCTTGGTCCAGGCTGAGGTGCAAGCGGAGCTGAAGTTCGCTGTCACGGAGCCTCAGGCTTTGTCTACAATCGAGGTGTTGTACGGTCTGTTGATGGCTAAGAGGAGAGAGTTTGCGCAATTCATTACTGCCACTTCCGTCCAGCAAACTGCTACTGCTGCCGCTACGTATGACATAATTGTCCAGCAGGCTTCTGATCTTCAGAGGTTGAGGTTCACGCTTGGTAGGTTGCTGCTGGCTGCTGCGGACGGGGATGCGAGACACCCTGTCAATACCATTGTGCCTGAGATGTTACTATTGCAGAAGAGCCATAAAAAATTGCAGATTGAGTATGCAGCTTTGCAAGTTCACCTTGCCTCCCAGACAACCAGCGCCTGTCCTTTTTGCGGCTACACGCTCTTTCAATCTGCTGCAGGTACGTCTTCCTCCACAGTTGGGCCGAGTGTCCCCCCGGAACCATTCGAGAAGGCCAATGATGCGCCACGGGAGGATGAGATGCTCATCAGTCAGCTGCAGATTGCAGAGGTTGACATGTTTCGTCATCATCTGCTCGACAATGCATCCCTTTTGAGGGAGCTAGATGACAAACGTCACTTTTATTTTGATGACTTCGGCTCCCAGCTTATGCTCATTGACAGACAGGAGGATATTGACATTCTGGTTTCCGTGGTCCACATCGGTCCCGGGGATAACGATTACGATTGCCATGTCGTGCCTCCGGAGTAGACTCCTCTGTATTGTTTGTTGCTGCTGTTTGTTTTCCGTGTGACTACAGCGTGTGGGTTGAGACAGTGGCCGCCGTGTTTGCTGCTGACGTTTCTTTTCCGTGTGCCATTAGCCTGTCCGTTGAGACAGAAACCGTCAGCTGATTTTTGTGATGCTTGGATTGTAAAGTCCCTGTCAAGGTCGAGAGCCTGCCTGGCCAGTCTGGGGTTCAGCTGCGTTCCTTTTTGCCCCGAAACTCGTCATGCTGTGTTTCCCGGTGGCTGTACATGACGAGGCTTTAGTGTTTAGATTAGGTTACGCTTTGCAGACGGTTTACCTGCTTGTTTTTTGAACTGTCCTGTTTACTTGCCGTTCTATCGGCATCTACCAGACTGGGGTTTAGGGTTTAGGATTTAGGCTTTCCAATCTTTTTTTTTTTTTTTTTTGTAGTTGTTGTTCTTGCGACTGTGCTTTTTGGTGCTGGTGTGCATTGCCGATGGCTGGCGCTCTTTCGGCGTTTTCGTATTTCGTCGACCTTTAGCCTCGATCTGCCTGACTCAGGTTTGGGGTTTACTGTTCATACTCTTCGCATACTGTTCGTACTGTCCACGGTGTATATATAGTGTTCATAGTCTTCATATACTGTTCATACTGTTCTTAGTGTTGATACTGTTGATGTGGTGTTCATACTGTTCATAGTGTTCCTGTTGATGTTTATGTTTACGTTTATGTTTACTTCAGCTTCCTGCTTGGTCTGGGTCACTTGGGTTTAGGGTTTACCGTTTAGTAGGTCCCGGAATGGGTTTTTCTCGGCTGTTTTCGCTTCTCCGTTTTTTTGGCGAGTTGTGTGCATTTCGAATATGCAATGTATTATTCTATATTATATGTATTATGTAGCAACGTGCTCGGTCTCCGTGTCGTCTTGGTGTGCCTCGTCACCTTCTGCAATTCCTCTTTTTTTTGTGTTCGGTCTTCGGTCTTGCAGACATGTATGCCAGTGTTCCTTTCAATTATGCTTCTGTTTAAGACGGTGTTTGCTTATTCGATATAAGACAAATGTGCAAAGTGCTTGGTCGCGTCTGTTTTTGAAATTGATGCATTGGTTACGGCATTTGACGTTTGCTCAAAACGATGTACACTGTCAGGAAACATTTCCATGTTGCGGACTACCTCCCCCCGATGCATTTTCCCTGAAACGCTCGCTCCTGTGGCCAGATGTGGGTCTTTTTCTTTCGATTTTTTTTTGCGTTTTGTTGCTGGCCATGTGTGATGGACCGTAATTGCGTGCACCCCCAAGGCTCTCGCGATTGTCGAGAGCTTCCCACACGTTGTTTTCATCCACTGGAATGATTTCTTATATGTCCCTGTAGCCTTTTTTGCACCTGCATTGCAGTTCCTTCTTCTTCTTTTTTTTTCTTCGTCTTCATTTTATTTTACCGTTTTTAGTGTTATCCCTGGAATTCCTTGTCGGGAACTGGGCCTCGCCGCACCCCCTCTAGGCTTACCATTTGCCTGTTGGCAGTGCCAAACTCTCACCTGTGTGCCCAGACAGACGACGACAGCCCGGGACACAAACTCGTCCTCTCGCGGCAATGAAACATGTGTTTTCCCTGTTGACAATGCATTCTCGGACCCTTGCTCTGTTCGTCTTTGGAATTTTGCGTCTAACACGTCTTCACTGTTCGAAAGTTCGACTTTTGAAAGGCTGCATCGCCTTTGGTTGGTGTTACCTGCATGCTGACATGACTTGCATGCTGACATGACTTGCATGCTGACATGACTTGCTCAATGTGGCTTTGTTTTCGTTGTGTTTGCTGAATCGTCCGCCTCTCTGTTCCCTGGCCAGTTTGTTGTCTCGCTGCCTCCTGTCTGAAATTGATGTGTTTCTCCTTCGGTTTTACCTTGGGCCGTCTGCTCCTGTCTGTGACGCCGCGGACCATGCCGTGAATCCGCTGCCTCGAACCGTCTTGTTGAAGATTGTTTTGCGGTCATGGCACACCCAGCTCCTTCTGCATCCGCCGCGCGAACAAGGCCTGGCCCGTGGAGAGAAGCTCTCATGCTTCACAGATCTTTCGAGAATTTGCCATCCGGACACCAACTTTTGTCTCCGTCACAGAGATTGCGTTCTGGGAGGCGGGACCGCCAACTGCCAATCCCTCCCGCACCTCTTTGTCTCCCTGCCGTTCCTGCGATCCCGTCAGATTCCAATCCGTCGTCGCCGTATGTTTCCTATGCCCATCCTCAGATCGTCACGGATTCCCCTGGTTTGCATGTGCCTTCCGACGGTGCCATTGCTCTCCACTGCCACCCGATTGACAGTCCGCCTCCTCGTGGATACATCGCACACCTCTCGGCATCTCAGAACAGTGCCTCTTCACTCTCGAACCGTTCCTCCGATGGATTGACTACATCCCCTACTGTGATTGTCCCTCGTACTTCTGGGTACGACTGTGACCTGGCCAATTATTCCAGCTTTGACCCGAACCGTTGCTCTGCACCCGTTCGCTCCCAGACAAATACCTGTCCTAGAGCATGGAAAGCATGAGTAAGACTAAGGAAAGACAGTTTGTGGCTCAAGAGAGGTCAAAAACCCAATCCTCGGCTCCTAGCTCCCCTGGTGACTCTGAAGGACAAAATTTGCTCCCTGTCGGAATGAGAACCGCTCTGCTGGCCATGATAACTTCTCAGATCCGGTTGCACTTCTCCTTGAACTTTCTTTACGGTGAGTCGGGCGGGGAGCTCAAAGTTCCTTCCCCTCCCCTCTTCCTATCTCGACAGCGCCCGGTCACAATTCGGCAAATCCCAGTTCCCGTTCCCACTTCATCTTCCTCCTCCCTCCCGCGAGCCCATCTGATATCACCCGACGACCATGTTTCTCTCCGTGGCTCTCTCAGCCAAAGACCCACTTCCACCATCTCTCCCGGCATAGTCGAGAATTCTCTGTCGAGTGCTTCCGCCCCTTTACAGCGCACGGTACACCTCTCAGGTCCTCCTGCATACCTTGGCAGTGGCGAAATTGGAAACTTTGGACGCACCAGCGTACAAAATTCTATCGGACAGTCCCATGCCCCCTCCATTTGCCATATTGCCTCTCCTTCTCGTCCCGGTTGTGGTCCTCTTAATATCATGGACATTTCTCTTGGACAGTGAAAATTCGTCGACCCTTGCGATTGGCCCGAACGCCTCTTGTCTTCTCTGCCCCTTCCATGCACCTTCGCATCAGCAGAATATCCACACGTGCTTTTAAATGCTTCCCCTGCATTCGGTCCTCTGTCACCCGTCCCATGTCCAGCAGCGAGCCAGCCCACTGCAAACGGTCTTCCACGATGCCAATTGTTCCCATTTCATGCATCCCTCGCTCTCCCAAGGGAGCTGCTGCTGTCGCCCCACCCGCTACCATGGGAAATTGAAAGTCCGGTCCGTAGAATGAACAACGCTCTGGTGATCGCTGCTCGGGATAGCCGGCAAGCAAGGCAGTCCCGCATGACCATTCTCCGATTAAAACGTCAAGCCTGGCCCCGCCGTGTACCTCTTCGCTGCATTCCGGGCAGTAGAACGACGGATTGGAATGCACGTGTCGTTGTCCCGTCGGCTACCAGTTTACCTGTGCCAGTGCAGATCCAGAATCCCGTGCCCTTCCAAGAGTTTGTGCCAACGCCCCAAAACTGCCCGCGTCCTCTGCCTAACGAAGGCCTGCGTTTACAAGTAACTGGTCTACTACATCCACAGCGTTCACCTCACGTTGTTACTCCAGTTCATCACGTTCAACCCACACAGACACTTCACCAAGGCTTTTGGTCTTCCGGCTTGCGTAGGTCGACAAGGCTTGCAATACGACATGGACTTGCGAGGCAGCCGATGGACGTCCCACCTCCGCTGCCCGTAGCATGAGAGAACAACGAAGGCAGTCTATGATTCGGAAACGAGTTTCCCGATCTCGTGACGCTGCCCGGGCTTCGCACGCTGTCTGCGCGCCATCCGCGGGAGGGCATTTGGCTCCAGACGGGCACCCGGACGCAATGCCGCGACGTTCTTCTCTTCTTTTCGGCGTTCGTAGGTCTTGCGGTAGTGCGGACCGACCGGTTGCTGCAGCGCACCGCCGCACCTTAAAAAAACGACGATCCTCCTGCGCCACCCGTAACCGGGCCTTCTGTGTGCGTCGACGTGTGCCGCGACCCGCGTCTCGGTTCCATCTCTACGCTGTTTTCCGGCAACGGTTGTTGGGTTGTCCTGACATAGAACCGCTGGAAGCAATTCCGGTTGCAATTACTCCACCGGGTCGAGAGATCCCTCGGCACCAACGTCCCTGGTTCGCCACCACAGGAACAGCCGACGGAGGTCCCTGCTTTCGACTCTGGATCTTCGCCTGAGCCTGCTCTCCCATTGGTACCTCCTCCGCGTTATAGATCTGCTATTTTGTTTAGCGCTTTGCTCTTTGACAACAAGATGTCCGTTGATCCTCATAATCTTGGTGACCGCCAGCTTTGTTCGTACTGTGGCGCCAAACTCTTTCCCACGAGTTGAAGTGGTCAACCATGTGCTGTAGGCATGGTAAAACGATGTGTGAATTCTGGAAGATGCCTCCCGAGGGAACGCCCAAACATTCCATTCTTTCTCTATGGACTGATGACACACCTAAGGCTCGATTGCTCCGATCCAAGTCCAGGAAATTTAACAACGCGTTGTGCCTTGCTTCTGCTCATGTTAGACAGCCAGAGCAGGGCCTCCGAGGGTATCAGGGCCAACTCAAAATACAGGGTCGTCTCTATCACAGGCTAGGCTCCCTTAGGCCTCCGCCAACGGTGCGCCCCTCATATGCACAGTTGTATATTCATGACCCTTCGGAAGTGGACACCGTAACAAATGCTCGTATGGAATTGATGCACCTCCCTCAAGGGGCGTCCGCTTCGGAGCGCCAGCTGACGAGAGCGATGATCGAACAACTGCAGCTTCTTCTGCGCCGGTGCCACCCATATGTTAAGGACTTTATTACATACGCAGACATGGATGAGAATGTCAGGGAGAACATTAAGATTGTTATTAACCCTCATGCGCGTCCCGAAGGGACACATGAGGGTAGATACAACAAACCGGAAAATTTTGAGGAGGTCTGCATCCTCCTTGCTGATAGTTTACAGTCTGATGAGGTCCGAGTGCGTTATAGACCCGATCGTAACTCACCCTTCCCTTTCGAAAATTTCAAGGATGACAATAGAGCCTATGACCCTCTCCACTACGTGCTCTTCTTTCCCAGAGGAGAGGATGGTTGGTGTAAACAACCGGACACTTCCAGGGGCAATCCAACT